CATGTTTTTGTTCAGACCTTTATTTAAAAAGTCTCTACATGGGACAGAATCAGGATAAGGCAAATTTAATCCTAGAAACTGGGAACCTGTGATTGACAGGTTTGTTCTTCTCAATTGCAATCTTGTTTGCCATAGGAACAACATAGGAACCTGCCAGTAGCCATGTTCTAGAAGTAGTAGTCTAAAACAGTCGCTTTTCCCATCTCTGGGAAAACATACCAAACATGTGTTTGAAGGTCTCACTGCAACACAAAACAGCACCCTGCTTCTGCTTCCGCCCTACAAATCTATTGTGGAGGTGAGGCCTGAATTGCAGCTTCTTTTCTTGTGTATGTCCCAAGTGTCCCCTCCTCCCCCGCAAGTCTGGCTTTCTAACGATAACTCTGGGTTGTTTTCTAAATGTTCAAAGGCTTTTGGCCAGCGCCGAAATGTCCACTCCCTAGAGTTGGTTCATATGCTCTACTACCGCAGTACATCCAACAACGCAGAGCTGCTGGATGCCATTGCTCTGCGCGCCCAGGAGGAACATGCCAAAGAGGTCATCTTGGCACAGAGCTTCCTCCTCCAGCTGCATCATCATCATTATCACCAGCACCCCCTACAGGAGGATATAGGTATGACCTCACCTTGGTTCACTGGAATATAGACGCGTTTTAGTTCTAGCCAAGTTTGAGCAGGTTCCCTGATCTGTGTTTCTTTGTCCCTTACAGCCCCTGAAATTGTTGAACAGCTGAAGAAAGAGGTCCAGACTTGGCTCCTCTCTCACTCTGAGCTGGACATAACCTTCTGTGCTGAGCGTGCCTGCCAACATCTCAGGGAGCTAGGAGTTGGGGTCTCTCCCATAGCTCCAACCCATACAGTGTGACTAGGCTGGAACCCTGCGGTCACGGTTCTAGCTAGCCCTTTTGGCACAGCCTCTAAGGGCAAGCCTGGCAAGTTCAGAAGGCATGGTCATGGTGACGTCTATTTTCCTCTGCAGTATCGTAGGAGCAGTATGCAGAGGCACAACTCCTAATACTGCACAGATAACCAGAAACCACATGAGATTTCTGCTACTGTTTTTTGGGTGGTGGGTCTTTGGAAGTGCATCTTCCCCCAGCGAAGCTATTGAGTGAGACATGAGCATCCGAATGAATGATCCGAGTCAAATTACAACTCAGGCACAGCTATCATAGGAGGGAGAGATGGGGTAATCTTGTTCTTGAATGGTTCCCTTGCGTGTTTTTGTTTGTTTGTTTGCAAAGGACTCGCATTATATGATGCTGCTGCTTTTAATTTTCATAAAGCTGCTTGGCCTTCCTCCAAGCCTGCTTTTCTTTTCTCTGAGAAATGAGGGAAAGCAGGACTGTTTACATTTGAAATGAGAACAGTGCCAGACAATGAATCTCTTATATTTAGAGCAAAAAGGCTTTAAAAAAACTTTGCTGTCCTACTGGGGGTGTTTAAAAAACCACAACAGCCATATTAAATTACTACTTTAGCACTTTGAAATTCATAACATGCACTTATGTGGAGTCTGAAGAATGCACTGCACACTGAGCTGTTCTTTTGCCTGTTCTACAGCAGTCACTAGGGTCGAGAAATTCACAATGCATGGTCTTCACAATAAGCTTATAAACTGTTTTACCTAATTAGGGAAAGACACTTTGCACATGGCAGGGGCATTTTTCCATATTACCTAGTCTTCCAAATTGTGGCCCTTATATTAATAACAGACTTGAGTTTTTGTCTCTAATGTCAGTTGTGAATGAAAGGATGAATTTGAGCTTAAACACACAAGGCCTAGGTTCCAATATTGTATCCACTGGACCGCATTATTCTGGTGCATTTTTTTTCTAGTTGCCGGGCAATTAACATATCTGTCAGTAGTGGATTAGAGTTTGGTGGGGAAATCTTTGAGAGATCTCTTGTGTGCACTAAGGTCTTGGTCTAACCTTATGGAGGAAACTTGCATACCTGACCTCTGTCTCTGCATATAATTAATGCATGTATGTTCAATGTACCTTTGTATGAACTTGGGGAAATAAGTCATCTGCCCCAACGGATGCAGTCATAACTGGGTGGATGGGTATGCTGTTGTTCATGGCTGGCTGTATATAAGACTTTAGTCCCCTTCTTTCCCCAGCCATCCTTAAATTATGTTAAAGGAGCACACATTTCAGGGTTATGCATGTTCTCCTGTGGTGGTGAAAGAGTGATGGGAAAAGCAGCCCTTATCAGAATTCTCTGTTATATTTGTCCATTCCTGGGAAAGCCTTAGCCATAGAACTGAAGAGACAGCTTGTGACATAGCGATTAAACTGCAGTACTGCAGTCAAGACTTTGCTCACGATCTGAGTTCAATCCCAGGTAGCCAGCTTGAGGTTGACTCAGCCTTCCATCCTTCCAGGGTTGGTAATTTGAGTACTCAACTTGCTGGTGGCGGCGGCAGCAATGTCTAGCTTGCATAATTAAATTGTAAAATGCCCAGAGAGTGCTTTAAGTGATATAGGGCAGTATATAAGAAGCACTTTTCGCTTTTTGAAGATACACGATTGAGAAGGATGCTGTTTGCGTGCTCTGACCTTTCTGTTATAGGAACCAAAACTAACAACAAAATACTGTGAAATATTTAAAAAAACTAAATTTCTAAAAAAAGGTGGTAATTGTGTTAATCTGTTGCATAAAAAAATAGCAGCGTCCTGTGCTAATTTTAAGACTAACATGTTTTATTTGACATAAGCCCTCAAGGAAAATCAATTAAAGCATATGCTCAGTAAAACTTTATAGGCTTCAGGGTGCCACAGGACTCTTGAGTGTTTTTGTGACATTTGAACTGGTAATATCACACTCCAGTTCAACTCTGGGCTCTTCCTACTAAATCATTATCACTCTGCAAGTCCTGTGCTAATTTTAAGACTAGCATGTTTTATTTGACATAAGCCCTCAAGGAAAATCAATTAAAGCATATGCTCAGTAAAACTTTATAGGCTTCAGGGTGCCACAGGACTCTTGAGTGTTTTTGTGACATTTGAACTGGTAATATCACACTCCAGTTCAACTCTGGGCTCTTCCTACTAAATCATTATCACTCTGCAATTTTTATCTGTTTCAAAAAGTCAAAATAGGATTGTTCCCTGTATGGCCATGTATGGTGGTGGGAGGGGAAATGCCAATAAACTCTGTGATCTGTCTAGCTCTGAACTAGAGACTGGCGCAACCAAAGTGAACCCTGCATCTTGAAATAGCAGGACTCAGAAAGATTACTCTTTTGGACAAAAACTCCCAGAATACCTTGACTGTCATGTCCAGAGATTATGAAAACTATAAACCTAAAATGTAATTTTTCTTAAGCACTGTAAAACAGTGTGGCTTGTCTGCCACAATGGAAAAAAATTGTCACAGCTTTCTGGGAAGGTGCATGGATGACTACTGTAGCCTTTGTGCAATAAAATATTCTTTATTTCTGCAAGTGATTGCTGCTTTTTTTTAAAAAAAAAGGGAAACGATCCCATTTGATTTCATTTAGTCCAGCACAAGAGACAGTTGACCCTGGAGACCTGGGTTCAAATCCGTGGTTGGCCGTGGAAACTCACTTGTGGGGAAGGATGGTGGCAGCGCTGGTAAAACTGCCCCTTGAACATCTCGCATGCCTTGGTGACCCTACTAGGGTTGCCAAAGGTCAGAAGAAACTTGATGGCACATAACATTTCCCCCTGCCTCCTACTCAAAACAGTTTGAGACCCTTCTACACTGTTCTTTTTGTGGTGACAGTAAATGCATGCGACATCCATCCTGAATAATCCTGAATTTGTTTATTAGAAATGTTTTATACTACATTTAAAGAGCTGACTGGGATAGTCGGATATTGTGAAAGCTTTTTTATTAGATCCGTAAGTGAGCTCCTCCTAACTTTCCATGATGCCATATAATTTTGTGCCTCACTTGCAGTATTTCCAGAGCTCTACTCCAGCTCACCCGCCCCGTTGGAACCAACTCACAGTATAGGGCTTTCACGTTAAGTCAAATATTTAAGGAGTGGCTTTATCAGTTCCACACACCCAGTGAGTTTCCATGACTGGGTGGGGATTTGAACCCAGGTCTCCTAAGTCTTAGTCTGCCACTCTATCCACTACACCAGACCATCAAACTATCAATATTGACAGCTAAATATTCAGGCCTTCTACAGGTCTAACATGGGCTCCATCACTGCGTCACAGTCTTTATTAGCAGGCACAAAGACCCCAGTTCTGTATTCTTACCAGAGATAGCACAAATTAAAAAATGAATCACCAAATTCATTTTAAAAATCACTAATTTGTTGATTCATATTTGTCCAAATCTAAACCCCCCCATGAATATGAATCAACAAAATGTTAGTTATTATTGATTCATCAATTTATTTGGCTATAAAACGACCTCCAAGTCACCTAGAGATACCTAAATTGTAGGGAAGGGTCCTCTGATTCTCCTTTACAATCCCTCCAGGTATGGCAAGGTTGCGCACGCACGCACGCACACACACACACACACACACACACACACAGAGAGAGAGAGAGAGAGAGAGAGAGGACTCCTCCGGGAAAGTTCCCTGCAAGCACCTAGAGACACCAAAATCAAGGAGAAGTTTCCCACGACTCTCCTCTACAATCCCTCCAAGTTTGGTGAAGGTTGGGTTTCTCCAAGCCAACTGCTAAAGGGCACTTTCTTGGGTGGGACTCCTTGTAGGTGTATAACTTGGATATGTGAATCTTAAAATTCACCGAACTTGCAGGGTATGTCAAAGAAAGTGGCGAGCTTGCCCTGCAAATTTGGTGTCTCTAGGTGTTTGGGGGCCTGTTTTATAGGGTTTAATGTCAAAAATGAATTGACCCTAAATTGAAAAAACCCTAAATTTTAAATTCATGCTTCATTGGCCTTGATGAATCACAAATCACCATTTTTCTGATTCGTGACCATCTCTAATTCTTACATTCAAAATAGAGATTTCTGTAAAATGCAGCCTTTATGACCTCTAATCATCTTAGACTTGTGGCAGAATGTCTGCAGGTTAAGTTTCTTCTGCATCAGAAGAATAATTGCTGCCTTAAAAGCCACTGCAGAAAGATAAAATCTACAAGATAACTGCTTTAGCTTGATTAAGTGTAGAATAGAATATTCCACATAAGTTTAATACTCCCTGTTAATTTCATTTCTACTATCCTTTCCATCCTCAGGCACAAAAGGGCTCAGGCTGTGCTGGGCAACATGTCAAGAAGGTTCCCATCCTGTTAAGAGATTACCGAAAAGGCAGATGCCTGCCAGGTCCAGCTTCTGTTACTTCCAGAGCTGGAGGCATCTTGTAGAGCCTTTTGGCTTTTTAAAAAAGACAGCTCCTGTGGTGTGTACCTTACAGAGGTAGAAACCAAATTGGGCGACCAATGAATTAATCTATAATCTGCCAAACACGGTTCTGAAAATTACAAGGAATTATTTCCCTCCCTGCTGATATTGTTGTGGTGAGAAATCTTACAGGGCTCTGGGGTCACTGTTCAAGAGTCCTACGTTTGACCTTGACACTGTAACATATATCTGTAAGAGGGTGGGGACAATGATCACAGATGAGGAAAGTGATAGGTTTTCCATTCTGGTGGAGGAATCCTATGAGATATAAAAGAAAACCAAAAAAGCTTCCCCATTTCTGGGAATACGGAGAGATACAATCTAAAGAGCAACACAGAGTCTACAAATTCCCTACCTGTGCTTTAAATTATGATTGCTGAAGGTTTAATGTGGAGTAATGGACACTGTCTCAGACTTTCTGGAGACCTGGCTTCAAACACCCTACTGAACCATAGAAAGTCAGATGTGTGTGTGTATGGAGGGTATGATAAACTACCCCTTGAACACCTCAAAAACCCTATGAGCAGGGTGTCACACATTTCAATTGCTGTATTTGTTCACCAAATAGATCCACAACCAATGAAGACACATACTTCTGGTTGTTAGTAGTACCATTTTTGGGAGTGAAATCCAGTCTCAGGTCCCTTGGAAGCAGAAGGGGGAAAGAAAGACATAACCTGGTCATATTAACCAGATCATATGATTACCTTTAGACCCTTCCACTTTTTAAATTGCAGACGGGGATTATCACATGTGCTTTTTGCATCAAGGGAAAGAAGGAGAAAACATAGATTCCAGAACTGGCCAATATCCCACCCTTTCACATGGTATTTGTATTTTCAAAATATATTCACAGTTGTCTTAAGGACTAGGAGCATGCCTTAAAGTTCTGCCTCAATATATAGCACCATCTTATGCTTGAAGGAGACACAGCCTGCCCTCTGCTGGCGCCTCTCTCCTCAGCTGAGCACAATCCATCTTGGCTGTGTTCCCTTGTTTCTAATGTTCCTTTTTATTACATAAAAAAGATAAGCCTTTCTTAGTGGCTGGTAGTTAAATTCAGACTACAGTGAGATTAAATATTTATTCACATGCCCAGATTTGCACTGTGCCAGATGGAATATTAGTGTCCTTAAAGGGTATCAAGCTGGACTTTTATCCAAACACAAGTACACAGAGAGGATGGGAGGAGATTACTGCTAGAGAATTTAAGGATGGACAGATTAAGTCTGTTTCTAAGGGCCCCCTCCTTTTTCTTGCCTTAAAATATCCTTGGTGCTTGTTCCATGCAATTTCCTTTTTAACAGAAAAAAGTTACGCATATTTGTGTGCTGTTTTTCACACAGAGGTAAGAATAGATATGGGGCCCCACGGACAAAAAAATGTCAGTGTACACTTTAGGTATGTCCACCTTAGGTTTTGTACATTTTTTAAAAATGGATGCATATTGTCTAATATATTCTATATTTAATGCAAAACACTGCAAAACTGGAAACGTGGATTCCTGATCAAAAATTGCCACCATTTTTCTGTTTTATGCATCCTGAAGATGCATAAAAAGACGGGAAAAGCCTCAGTGGAAACAAATAAATATATTACAATCCCTACTAGATACCAGTGTGGTGTCATGGTTAGAGTAACTGGCCAACCCATGGAATCATGAGGTTTATAATCACCATACATGGCTGGCTTTCGGCAATATCAATCACTATCTTTCCAGCACTATTTACCTCAGGTTGTGAAAAGAACATGAATAGGGAAGAAGCATGTATGAAAAATGAAAATGTCATAATCAAATATTAAAATGTATTAATACATAAAATATAGTGTTGCCTAATCAAAATTCAGACAGGCCAAGAAAGAATTGAGCAAATAACCACCTATTGGGAGTGTGGCTTGCAGAGGTGCTGAAGTTATTTTTTGCTCAAGTGAACCTTTTTTTATGATTACGTTTTGGATGCATGTTGCAGTGAATATCGTGCTCCATGTCTGTTTCTGCACTCAAACCCACTCAATCTGCACCATTTACAAGTAAACAGATACCGGTACTGTAGTTATGAAGACAATAGAAGGCAGAGGTGGACAACTTGTGGCCTTCTCAATTTCGGACTGTAACTTCCATTGTTCCTCATTGTTCCTAGACAGCTGGACTGCCTAGGCCTCATGGAAGTTGTTGTTAGGTCTTTGGTACTTAATTTTTCATAAGGAAACATTGTTCCATATACACTATTGTACTGTAATTGCATTCCTCGAGGAACAAGGATGTGTAAAACACTGCTACCCCAAGCATGAAGGAAGGAAGATAATGGCTCTGTTGAAGTATTATTGTTATTATTATTATTTTATTCTTAAAATGCATATAAAATATAAAAAGGTCAGGCCAAGAAGATGAAAAGGGATTGTAATGAAGTCAGCACATACAATACTGATTCTGTTACAGAAATGTCATGGAAGGAACCCGTGTTGATAGTTCAAGCAGGCTGCCTCTTAAGGCTATTGAGTGAACAAAATCAATGTAGATTTCACTGGTGCATATGATTTATTAGGGCAGCCTTGCTCAACCTGGTGTCCTCCAGCTGTGTACGTTTATGACTCCTACTTACACCTCTAGGCTGAGGATGATGGAAGTTGTCATTCAGCATGGTTGGAGGCCACCAGCTTTTAAATGTCTGTCATAAGAGGCAGACAGGATGTGTTGTTGTTTAGTCATTAAGTCACGTCCGACTCTTTGTGACCCCATGGACCAGAGCACGCCAGGCCCTCCTGTCTTCCACTGCCTCCCGGAGTTGGGTCAAATTCATGTTGGTAGCTTCGATGACACTGTCCAACCATCTCATCATCTGTCATCCTCTTCTCCTCTTGCCTTCACATTTTCCCAACATCAGGGTCTTTTCCAGGGAGTCTTGTCTTCTCATGAGATGCCCAAAGTATTAGAGCCTCAGCTTCAGGATCTGTCCTTCCAGTGAGCACTCAGGGTTGATTTCCTTCAGAATGGATAGGTTTGATCTCCTTGCAGTCCAGGGGACTCTCAAGAGTCTCCTCCAGCACCACAATTCAAAAGCATCAGTTCTTCAGTGGTCAGCCTTCTTTATGGTCCAGCTCTCACTTCCATACATCACTACTGGAAAAACCATAACTTTGACTATGCGGACCTTTGTCGGCAGGGTAATGTCTCTGCTTTTAAAGATGCTGTCTAGGTTTGTTACCGCATTCCTCCCAAAAAGCAGGCGTCTTTTAATTTCATGGCTGCTGTCACCATAGAGCCCAAGAAAGTAAAATCTGTCACTGCCTCCATATCTTCCCCTTCTATTTGCCAGGAGGTGACGGGACCAATGGCCATGATCTTAGTTTTTTTGATGTTGAGCTTCAGACCATTTTTTGCCCCTTCACGGATTGCTTCCTTGTCGCGGTGAAGGGGTTTAAGTAACTCAGAGAAGCTATGGACTATGCCATGCAGGGACACACAAGACGGAGAGGACATAGTGGAGATTTCTGACTAAACGCGATTCACCTGGAGCAGGAACTGGCAAGCCACTCCAGTATCTTTGCCAAGAAAACTCCATGGACAGAAACAGGTGGCTAAAAGATACGACGCTGGAAGATGAGGCCCTCAGACAGGATATACTCACCACCTTACAGTTTTAGAAGTAGGGTGGATACAACTAGCTTAATCCTCCCACTCTATGCCATCTTTTTGGAAGTTTAGAGCCTCTATAGACTTATACTTCAAGGGAGGGAGGGAGAGGCTTCTTTAAAATGGTTTTTGGCTGGGGATAAAAGGAAGAAAGGAAGTAGTGATGGTAGCCACCCATGTATGGGTTGTGAATTTAAAGTCTGAACATGTGTGTTAAAATACACACTTCTCAGGGCCATTTCACACATTATGCGGAAGCAGACCTGGGTTTACCATTGAGGTCTCTTTGAACAAGAGGTTAGATGACATGGCAGCTCCGTGGTCAGGGTGTGTGTCATGTATTAACAAACGTTTTTGCTTTATTGGCATCTTATATTTTTAAGGTTGTGCCTTAAAACTTGTTAAGTAGAAATCTAAAACTTCCAAATGTATTATTTATTTTTTAAGTGCTTGTAATATCACATGAAAAAACATGCTTGCTTAATTGGCTTGAGATTCAGGGGATAAAACTCATTATGTGGGTAATGTTCACAGCCAGTTTCAACTGTATTATCTTAACACCTAGTAATTTTAGATTTTCAGTTCATGAAAAGATTTACTGGATAAAGAAAATTTGCATATGCAAATTGCCAGTTTTATTCTTAAAAACTTTAAAAGGTTTCAGGACCTTAAAAAATAGAATTTATTAGAGCTATCTCCCATCCCTATTACTTTAGCTTCCAAACTGCAAATATGAAAAGACTGAAATATACCAAGTCATAGAAAGAGATTATGAGATAGAAAATGTTATTCATCTCTCCGTTTAGAACATAATTATAGTTTAATGAATGCTGGAAGTGGCTGCAGGTTTTAATTTTGAACAGAAATATTCCAGAACAACATTACTCAACCTATGCTTTTTTCCTTTAAAAATAGGCACTCATAATACTGATTGGTTTAGGAAATCAAATATTGCTGGCCATGCTGTAGAATATGAACGAGCTTACAAAAATAACAAGGGGATTCCTACACCCCCACTTTGGAAAAATAAAAGTTGGTTCTATTTCCTGTATATAATTTTTAAAAATCAAGGCCAAAGCAACCATTTCTAGCTGGAGAACTGATATGTTCCCTGAATTAAGCTTTATCATGGTACATGGCATGTCATTTTTCTGGGAAACAAATTCAGTTGTTTAGAGCAGGGGTCCCCAACCCCCGGTCCGCGGCCCAGTGCCGGTCCATGGGCTTCCTTGAACTGGGCTGCAGACACGGATCTCCGCCCCCCTGCACCCATGCACAATGGGCATGTCACGCTTGTTGAGGAGCGTGTCACGCTCATGGGGTGGGCATGTCACGCTTGGTGGGCATGTCACGCTTGCAGACATGCGCATGAGAGCAACACGCCCCTCCGCAAGCATGACATGTCCATCCCACAAACATGACACATCCACCCGTGAGCGTGACATGCCCACCCACAAGCGCAAGGGTGCCCCTGCCCCCCTGCGCACGGAGCCCACAGCCCCCAAGCGGTCTGCAGTCTGAAAACAGTTGGGGACCGCTGGTTTAGAGCAAGTCTAATAATTTAGAAATCAAGGAAATGCCCAGTGTAAAATAGCACACTTTAACTTGCCACATCATAGGGAGTACATGATATTGTGCAAATAAGAGGTGATGCACTCAAAATGCAATCACCCCAAATGATCAAGCCACGCATCACAGAAGACTTTGTGCCATGACTTCCTTTGGAAACAGCAAAAGAGTTAATACATAGCTAAATTCAGAGGACAACAGACCCCTTTCCAAGGGCAAATGGGGAGATCTCCCAGCTGAGGGTCACTCCTTTTTTCGAAGGTGGATGTAAATGACTCCACTGATGAGAGCCAAAGGGAAGGAAAGCCACGCCAGTACGAAACAGTAGCCAAAAGAGCCACCCGGCAACCGGCCATGCTGGAACTCGTCCACATGGACGGTGTAGATCACGGCAGCTGTGAACACCGAGATAGCTGGAAAGAGAACCAAACAGAAAGTCATGGAGGAATCCTTAGATCCATCATATTGTCCCTTTCTGCCTCAGCTTGAGGGCTGCTATATTTCATTTGCAGTCTCACATGAAAGTTGCAAGTACAAATTTCACTTGCACCTATACTAAGATATGCCATGGATATCCTGAAAGCAGTAATACATGTAAGAACTGGTGGCCTTGAGGCAGATGGTAGACCCATCTAGGTCCTCCTGCAGCATTGCCACCACTGCATTTTCCTATCATCTCTTGCACACCCCACTGCCATGCCAAATTCAAGCTAAAAGCATGCTGCATATATACCACCCATAGCGCTTAAAGCATCTCCAGGGAGTTTTCAAGTTAATTATGCAGACTACACATTATTCCCACCCCCTGTGTGAGCTGCATACTCATTTTACTGACCTCAGAAGGACAGAAGGCCGACTTATTTATTTATTTATTCAATTATATACCACCCATAGCGCTTAAAACATCTCCAGGGAGTTTTCAAGTTAATCATGCAGACTACACATTATTCCCACCCCCTGTGTGAGCTGCATACTCATTTTACTGACCTCAGAAGGACAGAAGGCCGACTCATCCTTGAGCCATCTACTTGGGATTGAACCTCGGGTTGTGAGCGGTTTTGGCTGCAGTACAGCAGTTCAAACATTGTGCTAAGAGGCTCCTATTACAGAATATCTCCCTTTTAACTGCTACTCTCTATGTGACCATTTATATTTCATGCTTTTATTTATTAGTTACATTGATAGTCTACCCTTCTTCCAATGGGTATACAAAGCTCTTCTCTCTGCTCAGCCAGAGAGCCACCCAGTGTCTAGTGACCTGTAGTTTTGAGTGGAGAGAGAGCTCATATAATCCTTGTGGAATAAGGTATGCCCTCCTCGATGCTGAGGTGCCATAATTCAAAACAATCCTGTAAGGTAGGTGTGTCAGAATGAAAGACAGTGATTGAGCCAGATCACCCAGAAAGCTTCGTGTTTCAAAGTTATCTCCCAGGTCCCAGTCCAAGAATCTTATCTAACCGTTACAGCATGAGGTAATTAAACGAAACACTCACCAGTAAGTAACTGGAAAATTCCAGTGGCATAAAACAGACTTCCCCGCTTCATGGTGTAGAGTTGGCACATGAAGATAATGAAGGCAAAACTGGAGAATAGGAGACTTAACACCATGAAGGCCTGGACTGCTTGAAGCCATGCTGAAAAGGATTATTTTTAAAAACAGAAAGAGAGGGGGAAAAATCAGAAGGAGACTGTGTAAATGCAGCCACATCTGGCACTGGGATTAATAAATGACTACAGGGAATGCTGTTCTCACAAAACATGTAGCATCCCCTCAGATACTCACCACTTTCAGACACTGTGTGGCAGACCCAGGTCTGATTGGTGCTGTCCAGTAAGCAGTCATACCAGATGTTTACGGTTTCCTTATCGGGCAGAACCCACCATGACTGAAGGAGAAAAAGAATTACAAGAGAGATTTTGAAATCAGGGGTCCAAAGGAGAGCTATCAAGTTGGAGTATCTATTCAAGAGGGGGCAAGTTAGCACACCCAGTAACAACATCATGGTCTCCCGCATCCCTTTTTAAGCCACAAATGGGTACACATGAGCCAGTGGCTTGGTAACTTTATGGTGTGATCTCATACACATCTAAAAGTAAGTCGCATTCCCTCAGTACAGCTTGCTACAGGTTAGTGTACATAGACCAGGACAGCTTCTGTAGACTTCTCTACAAGACAAATGGTTTATACTGGTTTGGGGGTTAACTTCAAAGTAGTAGACATTGTAGCCCTATTCAGATGTTATAAATACAATGAAAATAAACATGTGAGGGGTTCACTCATCCTGCCCCCTTCTTCTCTTCTTTTCTCCCATGAAGAGGTAGCTGTGTTAGTCTGTGCCAGCATATCAGGCAAAAATAAAAAATAAAGACAAAAACATTATGGCAACTTAAAGGCTAAATGCTACCCCTTTGCCTGGTATGCTCACATGAAGAGTAACTTTCTGAAGAAGAAAAAACTCTTTAGAAAGTTGCACACATCACTCAGGTTTGGAATCAAGCACAAACCTTGACAAGAAACTACAGCGAACATTCGCTCGCTACTGCATGTACCTGTTTACAAAGATGAGTTTGTCACTGTCTCATTCACACAGTGTATTTCAAGGTATAACATGTAATGATAATACTTAGCAGTACTGGGATACTCTAGATACCCTGTCTGCTTGCAATCCTCACAACAAGGTCAAGCAGCATTTATCATCCCTCTCTTGTAGCCAGCTGCTGACAGGGAGTAAAACCTAAGTTTTCTGCAAGGCACGAAAATTGAACTGAAGACCTCTCTTTTAGCCACAAAGCTACACCACTATAAATGATATGGAGTTTGTGTTGCTTAGTGGATTATGAGCACCAAATGCAGCTACCACTAAGTGTTGGACAGAGACTGGAAAAGATAACTTTTTGG